GAACAACTTGTTCATAGAACATTCTTCTCCATCACCATGTCATGTTATTGTTGTACCTTGGTCATAAAATCAAATAAAATAATAACTAGTGAACTTATAAAAAACTATCAATAAAAATATATCATTGAAATAGGTGTGAAAAGCTTACTTACTTTAAACTGATTCACATCTCTGTAGAGAGTAGATCTACCGGTGTTGTAGAAGTATAGATAGCATGTCACCCCCAAGATGCTATAACTTTATAATAACACTTTATGAATCTGCATTACTCATAGAGTCACCTAATTCGAAATACCCTTTCTTGTCCAAAAATATTTAGAAGATAAAGTAAGGTAAAAAAAAAAAAAAAAGGAAAATGTGGAGGAACACACTTAGTTGAGCAAAATGGCATGTCTTATTTATAAGACTCATGGCCATGTAACTCCTATTTGTAGGTTAATAATATGAATAAATTGGGAAATTATTATGAAATAATTGGGTCTTAAATATGGCAATTAGCCTACAACAACTAGTTTCACCAAGTCTTTAATAGGACAATAAATTAATTTATGAAATATATTATTTTATTTTTTATTAAAATATTTAAGTTTCAACATAACGTTGTTCCTTATAGAAGCCTTTAAGCCCTTCTCAAATTTCTTGGTCTTCTTAGCTTCATCTTTAGTCACATGAGGTGCAAATCAAGCTAAAGCACTAAATTTTGCTTGATACTCATCCACAGTCATGTCTCCTTGCCTCAAGGTCATGAACTCTTGTTTTTCCCTTTCTAGAACAGCTTTTGAAAAGTATCTCTAGAAGAAGGCTTCTACAAATTCCTCCCAATTAATCTATTCACCCCTTCTGGTCATTCTTTCCGATGTAGCTGTCCACCAATCTTCTGCTTCACCTTTTAATTGATAAACGGCTACCTTTACCTTTTGTTGATCAATACACTTCAAAATTCTAAAAATCTTTTCTAACCTTTTACCCAAATTTTAGCATTACTGGCATCTTCTGTACCCTTGTATAATGGTAGGTGTAGATTTTGAAACTATTTTACCAAAGGTAGTTGTTCATTACCCTTAGCATTTTCTATTCACAGCTACATTATTAATCTGTTGTACTTGATTCCCCATATTTTGACTATTCTAACTTTGGCTGCCTTGATTTTGATTAACTTGATTTTGCAAAACGACCATAAGTTGACTGTTCATCTCATGCATTTCTTTCTACGGACTTTCCACCCTTTCCTCCAAAGACATGTTTGCTTCAGAAGTGGTAGTAGTTTCTACTATTATTCTTCTAGGTCCTCTTTGATATTATGATGTGAAAAGAGTATTCAAATGTTAACTAGACATAATACTTACAACACACTAGACTTAATTACACATAGCAAATCTGTATCTTAGCAAAACTTTGGCTCTGATACCAATTTGTAACATCCCCTTTACCTAAAGGTTTATCAAGTAGGGAAATGTCTTGCACAAGATTAAAAAAAAAAAAAAGAAGGAAAATATCTATAGGATCAAAGGCTCATTTTATATACCATTCCCAAGCTCAAAATTAGTACAAAATATATTGAAAATTATAGAGCCAACCATAGTTTTGGGCAGATACAGACTTGTCTTATTGACCACTTGGATGCATTGCTCACTATTAGCATGGGGCATCCACCAAAAGTCTTAGGAAACAACAACTACTCCTCATTGCTACTATTTGAAATAGTGGAATAAATTCCATGAACTTGCAACCTAGTAAGCATAATTCTTAACCATAAGTTAAGCTAATAATATTTACTTAGTTCATTATGTAGAAAAGTACCATTAGTTTTTAATAATACTGGTATTACTACTAATTTAGACAATTAGCCATAGAGCAATCACACAACATATCATATTAAATAGATTTAACACTAACTATGAAGTCCACTTAAATGTGCATGCTTTCACATTAGGTGCTAAAGCTAGTCATAGCACTTACCTACTGTGTAGAGGTCTACTAGTTCACTATTCTAACCCTCAAGCCTAAGTTAGGGTCCAAACTCTCCATAGTTCTAAGATAATTATACCACAAAAACATATACCATATAGAAACATGCATCAGATGTTCAACAGTCAATGTAGTTTGTAGAACCATAAAGAAAACTGGCATAATATGAAAATTTCAGAATTTAACTCGTTAAAATGTAATAAATCTCAATTCTAGACCTTAATAGTCTAGTTTAAATCTCATTCTTATTGTCCCCACAATTGGCTTTCGTGCAAATTATTCTAATTAAATCATACTTTCTTTACTTATTGCAACCTCTATATTGTATGGCTTGAACTACAGTATCATAATTCTTTTGTATATTGTGTTAATCTTATATTTATTCCTCTTTTTATGTTTGACAGCTTAAGCTTAAAGTTAAGAATCACTCTTAGCCCACACACTTGTTCAAAATTTTGGACTTGTTCAAAATTTTGGGCTTGATAGAGTTTCTTCAAGAATCTCTAAGTTTGCCCAGCCTTTCAACACCTTCTTTCTCTTTCTCTTTCGATCTAGCTAGAGGCAAAAATGCGAAAAAAATGACTAATTTAGTTATATAACTCAAAAACCTTCAATTAAGTAGGTTTTACTTGCTCCTCACTTGGCCCACTTCTCATCCAAGCACCTGTCATTTATTTTAATAGGTTATAGACAACTAGACTGCACTAAACTCTTTTTAAGATAGACACTTGGTCTATAATTTATTAAAATAACATGCAATCTCATAATTTACAATTATTATAGACTAGTCCCTAATTCTAGATGAGATGAAGGACTCTAACTTTAGACTCGATGCAAATAAGGACCTTTTTTTCTAACTAATTGCAAATAATGGGATAACACAATGAAATAGTTACAGGCTCTACTTCCTCCGAGACTTCCGTGTTCCGTTGCCACTCTGCCTTAGAGCTTTTTGTTCTTTGAATTTCCAAGGAGAAAGAGAAAAATTGGTGCTCCTTTCCAGTTAATAATTAGGGATTCCCCATTCCTGTAGCATGTGCAACAATTCCCAGATGCAAGCTCTTTGGCAACTAGCTCTGCCTGATACAAAGATGATGATCCTAGCTCTGTTTCAACTAGTCCAAACTTAGTAAAAAATTTTCTCCACTCATTTATCCTCATGTGCCAGTAAATCCTTTTGTCGTCCTCCTCTGCAACAACATCTTTTATACTTCGTGCAAAGTATGTTGCTTTAATATTACAAACCTGTTTTGATCACTCCAATCCATAGTATCTTCAAAGGAATTGAAAAGAACACCAGGTGAAGATAATGCTTCCAAAAACCGTTCCACGAAAATGGGTTAACTATGATTTGCCTCACGTTCCGTTACCACCAAAACACATGGATTTATTTCTTAAGAACTCTTATTAGAGCTTCCAAGCAATCAGGTTGTCCTACCAAATGACAAAGAACCAAATAAGAGTAGATGGCTACAACTTCACCATCTTCTATCTCAAACATGTCTTCATTGATATCTTTCATGTGTGTCACCATTGCGGTTTTGAATGAGAAGGGTATATTTAAGGACTGAGCAAAACAGGCTAGCCCTTTACCTGTCTCCTCAATTAAGTTTTCTTCTTTTGTCCCTAATGCAGTCACTTTAAGAAGTTCCAATGGGACTTCATTTCGAAAGGCAAGAGCTTGCATTAACGCTGTACATTGCCCCCAGTTCTAATTGCAAGGTCGATATAATGAACCTTTCTTGCAAAGGCCACATAATCTACAATTTCTTGAATTCCTGCAAACACACTAACTTGAGCAAAGGAAGCATTTCGTAGCATTTAATTGAAGTGGGTTGCAAACACAATGTATTCTCATCTGATGGTAAGAGGATTGTTTGTAGAAGTAAAGAAGAAGAGGATGGTGTATTGGAAAATACTCAATTGTATTCCCTTGATTCATTCTGTACAAGAAACTGATATATATACAAATGCAGAAACATATCTGGTGCCTATAATTATGTACACAAATATGGAATGTAAAT